ATCATGATTTTACCACCCCCCGCCACCCAAAAAAAAGTAAAAACCAAGCGCTCCTTCCTTCGAACGCTAATGAAAAACACCACAGACCTCGAAGCGGCTTGAATTCATAAGCGGGACACTTTCGGTGTGAAAACTCCAAAACGATGGGGAAACTCTGAGGTATGCAGTGGACAAAGCAGAGTGGATGTGTTAGTGTGTCCGTGTGGGTGGGAGGTTTGCCTGACGGAGGTTGAATGCCACCACCTAGTAGGCCGTGAAATCAGAAACCCTTGCCAACAAGACAGCCACCCCAACACCCGCCATCGCTCATTGTGTGTGTGTGTGTGTGTGTGTGTGTGTGTGTGTGTGTGTGTGTGGTAGGGCCCCTCCAGGGAAAATGCAGTCATGCAAGGTATCATCCTGAACCTCCTCCTGCCATCTCCGGCACTCCTCCTGCTCAATGTCCATCCTTCATGAGGTGGAAGAGCGCAAAAGTCAGCGTTGGGGCCCTGAACAGTCTCGCATCTTCGTACTTCAGTCACGGATACTTCGAGTCAACATCACGCTGCATAATACACACACGAACATGTGAAATTCAACTTTTGAAATGATGCTTTTATCCCCGCACTGAAATCTGACCGGCATGTTGTGGCGTGACCTTAAGAAGCCCTTTCACGCTCGAAAAGCCTCCGGTGATGTCGAATTCAAGTGATTGTGCAAGGACGAGTGGGACGCAATATCTCCAAAGTCATCGGCAGTTCCAGAAAATGCTTGATTTCAGTTTTTTGTCGTTGAGGGCAGCCCAACCAGTTCTTAGCTGGAGGAGACAAGTACAGTCGAACCGCTTTTCAATGTACCCCCGTTGACAACGTTTGCACCACCGCTATAACGTTCGCATTTCAAAGTGCCCATTTCACGTGATTCATTTTCCATTTTCCCGATTTTGCTCATAACGAACACCTCGATAATGTCAACTTCAGGATTTTTCTTTTCAGATTGCTTGGTGATCTTCTGAACATTCACGTGGGGGAACGACGCAAAAACTTATGAGACTTTTTCATGGCACCCTAAGTTTCATCGCAGCAGCCACATGCAGATGCAAATGTCTATATTTAAAAACACGTGTGGAAGGTGTTCCATATCGTTTTTAAATCATGCACTAATTGAAAAGCGATCAGAAGACATGAACTTTGCATTTATCCCCCCCAGTCGAAAACCTCCTGCACTTCCTTGAACCAACTTGCCTCTTTTCTTCGTGTTTTCGTTAGCGGGCCTATTTACTATGCCAGCAGTGACTTTTCCCCTCTTGTTTCACTTTCAGCCTTTGTCTGGGGTACTTAATAAAATTCGAAGTCTCGTCTGCATGTGTGTGATGTGTGTAAGAGAGAGAAGGCGAAAGAGAGAGAGAGAGAGAGAGAGAGAGAGAGAGAGAGAGAGAGAGAGAGAGAGAGAGAGAGAGAGAGAGAGAGACTTTCCCTCGTTTTGTGTCTGTCAACCTCTCGAAGGGGACTTCATGAAAGAGAATCCAATTTTGTGTTTGGACCAAAGAAAGTCAGAGAATTTGTACTCACTGAAACAAAAATGAGACAGACGCAGCTGATTTCAGATGATACAAACACCTCCATACAAATGTCTCCGCTTGATTTATGATGACATTCATGTTTTTGTTTTTGACCCCGCCCCCCCCAACTGTTCGGCAGCCATTGTTGACCCACAAGTGGCAGCATGCGGGAATGCATGCCGGTGCATAAAAACAGCGCAACGCTTACTTTGTGACAGTTCGACCTCCTGGAAGACGAACGACTTTAGTCTTAATGAAACTTTCTTTCCCCGGGATCAGAAATTAATCAAAGATAAAGGAGGGAGGTATTCAAAGTTTAACCGGGGTAAACTAATTAATAATGTAATCAAAAATCCTCTGATGAAGATGTACTCATCTGCATTAAGATGTCTTCACGCTCTTGCGTCTGGCCGAGTACCTCAAACCTGAACATTTGTTCAAGGGAGAGAAAGAAAGATAGAAAGAAAGACGGAAGGAAGGAAGAAAGAAAAAAGAAGAAAGGTCGGAAGGAAAGGAAGACAGAAAGACGGCAATAAGGAACAAGAAAGAAAGCCAGAAAGAAAAAAGAAGAAAGGTCGGAAGGAAGGGATGGAAGGAAAGGAAGACAGAAAGACGGCAATAAGGAAAGAAAGGCTTTGGGGAAAGTGATCGATGAGGTCCGGCAGTAGGAAATGGAAGCTAAAGAGAAACATCGACGACAAATGATTGATCCATCTTTTGTACGACGGCATTCATTCAACGGGGAGATGTTTGACCAACTTGAGCGGCCTCGGATTCCAATTCTGTTTTGCTTTATTTACCGTGAGATGAAAGATGCGATTCCATTTCCAGGGTTATCGTTTTGACTGCGGAGATGAGTTTGAAAAGGCTTTCGGGCCAGGATGCCGACTGCATTCCGCAGGTGGATAAAATAACGCATGGAATTTAGTCAGGAGACAAGACGGGAAAATCGCACTTTCAGTGACCCAAAATAAAAGACCCCAAAACCCAATCGTAAAATAAATCATCGGACGGCTATAACGCCGAGCGTTTGAAAATTGCGGCTCCTCTTGCTCCTCGCGGCCGCTCCTCCTCTTGCTCACGCTCCCTCCCCTGTTAAATTATTCAGGGCCACTTCTGCAGCATGCTTGATTAAGTTTTCATTTCTGCAAATTACCATTTGGAAATGCGCTGCGCTACTGAATCAAATCCCCACGACAAACGGCATGACTGTTTACCTGCTGTTAAACAGAGAGAGGCTGACGCGCAAAGAGAGACGAAGGCAGCATAAATCAGCGCATTAGAACTCATTTCGCTCTATTGTTGTCATCATTATGTATTGTGAACCACTTTGTCAACGCCGGGAATTTCGCTGACATTCCAGTCGAGCGTCTTGCGGCGACGTGGAAACGAAGAAGCCAAAAGGAGCACGCAGAGACCAAACGATGCTGCGGCGGCGGTCGTCGTCTCTCATCCGAGTGTACGCGAAAACCTCCCGATGTACTTTGATTGGAACATCAATAGCTCCCATTAGGAGGAACAATAGAAGCGACTACAAACATTTTACACCCAGTTAAGCCGCCGCATTGGAGTCCTTTTAAGCATCCAATGCCAGAAACCTCCATTCGCGCTTCGACGTCACCTGTGTTACAGAAATTTGGCCGATGATAGAAAAACAATACCCCCAAAAAAATTTTTGCTGAATGTAAGAGTCGTAACTTTTCCCACTTCACTCTGTCCGGACTGATTTTTGCCTGGGCAAAAATAAAATTGTATCGACGGCTCTCAGTTCCAAATATGCATCCGCATACGTGGGAGGAAAGCGGAGTACCCGGAGAAAACCCACGCAGGCACAAGGAGAACATGCAAACTTCACACAGAAAGGCCAGAGCCGGAATCGAACCCGCGACCTTTGTGAGTACAGTAAAGTCATCAGTCGACGACCGCGCCGCCAAAAGTCAGGTCAAATAAACCTCTGTCTGGACTGATTTTTTTGCCTGGGCAAAAATAAAATTGTATCGATGGCTCTCAGTTCCAAATATGCATCCGCATACGTGGGAGGAAAGCGGAGTACCCGGAGAAAACCCACGCAGGCACAAGGAGAACATGCAAACTTCACACAGAAAGGCCAGAGCCGGAATCGAACCCGCCACCACTGCACTGTGAGGCGGACGCGCTGACCAGTCAAGCACCGGGCTGCCTCCCTTGTTTTCCTAGTTGACTGCCGCTACATGACGTCGCTCCTCGGCAGACAGTAAAACACCCAGACGTCTGTTCGACAAACATTGTTCCTACTTAATACACTTAAAATCAAGCCCAAAAGGCTCATGTACGAAGAAGAAGAAGAGGAAGAACATTTTCGCAGTGACTTAAGTTAGTTTTCTAGTTTTGTCAAAGAATTTTCATTTGTATTTTATTTCATGAATCAGAATGTTTTTTTTCAATTTGATTTTTACTTGTTAACTCAAATCACCTTGTGCCAGACAAAAAGTAGCTACTAGTTGTGTTTTGTATGGTGTGTCTCCCAAGTCATTCACCACAACGATAATAAAAAAATAAATAAAAATGCTACCACAATGTAGTTCCTGGATATGCTAACGTTTAGCCTAGTTTCTTTTTCTTCTTCTTTGTATGGTTTTTGGTAGTCTGGACAGCCCGTGGCTCAGTGCTGCCCCTCACAAGTCAGTCTTGGTACTGCGATAGATTTGTGATTTGTGGAGGAGAATCATGATTGTCAAGTGACGATGCTGAATGGTTCAGTGTGTGATGTGCTGTACTGGTCCTCTCGAGTACATCACACACCATGAAGAGCAGTAAGGATTTTTTTTCCTTATCATGTGCAGGGTCACTCACGTTTAAAAAAAAATCGACTATGACATTTGAAAATCGGGATGCGTGTACAGTATGGACAAAACAACCTCCTAATATATGTCTACTATAGCAGTGTCGCTCACAAAAATATTTATTACACTTTGCCCGTTCCTTCATCTTAAAATAGTGACCTTGTTATAATCATGTCAAGATTAAGAAGAAAAAAAAAGTGCCGTCGAATAAAAAGCGCTAGTGTGTGCTGGCACAAAATCCGTCCAGTGGTACTCATTGGAGGGCCAATATGAAGAACGCGGAGAGTTGCTTTGCTCCAAGTGCTCACAAGGGGCTTGAACCTTTCACAGCTCGCTTACTTTGGATGGCCCCGCAGCGAAGGCAACATTAGATATAATGAAACATTCATTTCCACTCCCCTCTCCCATTCACTTCCAACGAGGACATTCTGAGGACGTGTCTTGGCCTGTCATTATTTCTTCTTCATTTAAAACCACAAACCTTTCCTCTCGCACGTCTGTTAGCAACTTAGCGCGAGGACCAAAGTGAGCGCAGCCAAAATGCGGCCTCCCTCAGTCCGTTTGACTGCTTTTTGCTTTTGGCCCTTGCATCAAAGCACAATTTCAAAAATAATCAATGACACTGTACATGTAGAATGGTCTTAAACCTGGAGGTTGTTTATTTTGTATTTTATTTTTTTAAATGAGAGAAGAAATCTCCTCTCTCTGAATGTATGAGGTATTCGTGGATGGTTTGGGTATCAACGTTTGACTGTTGCTATCCGAGTAGATGTTAAAATGTCGGGGGTAAGTTAAATTAAGATGAAACGATAGTCTATAGATCTCATCCCATCTCAAAGGTTGATGCTAAGAGACAACATCTGCGTGTCACCTGTGAAAATTTGCTCATAAAGCAAAATAAAGCGATGTAAAATTGTGTTTTTACATGAGTTGGAGTTTGAAAGATGGACAGAGAGAGAGAGAGACAGAGAGGCCTTGCCTAACGTTTAACGGAAGCTCATTCCATATGGAGGGACCAGCGAGGGAATAAATTAATCAATCAATAAAAAAAATACTAAGATAATTACCTGGAGGTTCTTCTCTTAACGTAGCTTTTCACCCCACACAAACTGGAAAAAAAAGTGAAATGCTTGCGAAATGGTGCTAGATAGGCTGTGACTCATCTCGGGTCATCGGACAACAAACAATTCCGAGAGCAATCAAAGGCGCCTGATGTCGCGCTTGATTTCACAAAGCAAAAGTTGACTTTTTGCTTCATAAATATTTGATTTTGCTTCATTTCCCGCAGATTCATTTTATGATTTTTGCCGCCCATTACGACGCTTCTCGCCCCGGGCCGCGCGCCTCTTCTCTCTTTCAGCCCTTCTGTTTCTCTCCCGGCGCCGAGGCCGTAGATCTCCGTAACAGGCGCTATCTGCAGCCCCGAGCCCTAATGAGGCATCATAAGGAGAAGCGTTTGCAGCAGCCCGGCGCTGTCTTTTATTTGCCAAACCATATCTCTTCCCCTCGCCGTTCCCGACTGCCCTCTCCGCAGATCTCAATTGCTCCATCAGTCTACCTCGCGAGCCGTATCTCTCCCTCTCTCCGTCTCCTCGCTCTCCTCTCTCCTTCTCCCCTTTTCTTGCTCCCGCTTCCTTGTCGCGCCGTGCTTTATCTCTCTTCTCATTCAGCCATTGAGCTCCCCCTCTCTCCCTTTTCCCGGCCACGTCGGCTTGAATCATATCTGGCCGTCTACATATGCTAAAGCCTGTGTAATTACAGCAGCTCTTAAATAAAGACACGCTCCTAAAGCTGTCAACTGGAATCACAGCTAAACAAGGCGGGAGGGGCCTCCCGGCAGCTACAAAGCTGTCATACACAGCTACGGATTTATCACCGTCAAGGATGAGGGGCGGGGGGAGGCTAGGATGTGCTCGCAGACTGGCGCAGATAAATCTACCTTTAATTTTCATCAAAAAGGTGTGTGGGGAGAAAATAAAAATGCAGGAAAAATGACATTGATGTGCTCGTGGCCTAAACTATGCCGGGCACATTTGAAGGCCTGGCCGCACCAGATTTTTTTTGGACGTGTTTAATTTAAAAGACTTGTTCGCAGGTGAAATGGGGTGACGACATTCACTGGCCACACAGTCAGGTAGTACATACTCGAGCCCTTTGGTATTTTTGCATGGAAGTGTATACGAATTGGTTTTAAGGAAGCTCTCAGCTACAAGACAGGAATAAATAAATTAAAACACTCATTAAAAAAATAGTGAAGAAGGTCCACAAGATAAATCAATCATTTTGACAAACATTTGGTTGTAAACTTGCAACTTCTTTGTTTTTCTCCCTTAGCTTTTCAATGCACACTTATGTGCCGGCCTTCTCACATGATCTGACATTTTGCTCTGGATTCCATCCCTCCATTTTCTGATCCGCTTTTCCTCAGGCGGGCCGTGCTGGAACCTATCCCAGCTGTCTTCAGGCAGCAGGCGTGGGGACACCCTGAACTGGTTGCCGGCCCATCACAGGGCACACAGACACCAACAACCATCCGCGCTCACACTCACACCAGGGGACAATTTCGAGTGTTACTCTAGATTCCTCACAAGCATCTAATGAAATCCCCGTGTCGCAACTCTCGCTCCGTATACAGTTGACCCATCCTCCTCCGGTCTTCTACCGTCGCCCGCCCCCCCCTTTTTTTTTTTGGTCTTGACTTCTGTAATTCATCAGCGCAAGCAGCAGTACAGATTGATCAGCCTCTAAAGGCAGTGCGCTGTATGCTGCTGATGTCGCAGGAGCCTTCACTGAATAGTGAGCAGCGTGCGTGTGGGGGTCTGAGCGGCACAGGGCCAAAGTGAAGGGGACGTTTTTTTAAAATGTATTAATCTTCGTGGTAACATGGGAGGTGAGCGGCCAAGACAGGGCCCTGTTTTTTTTTTTTTTTTTTTTTGCACGTGACATATGCGAGCGCATAGTCGACACACACGCGCACACGGTGGCAAGTACTTTGTGCATCAAAAATCTTCACAAAAAGTGGGAACGGTAAAACACACACACACACAGCATCTAGGGGGGAATACAAAGTAATTTGCCAGGAACCACGGAGCTCCTTCCATTGGTATTCATCGGGATTCCCTCTGATTAATAGCTATCAACTGCAAATGTTATTTCTCTTAAAATTGTTTTTGTGTATGTTTTGCACGCAGAAACCAGTGCTCGATTGCCTGCGAAATGTGGACTCTTCTGACGCATCATCACTGCTTTTCTTCTTGTTCATTTTTATGGTTTGTGTTTCCAAAGCGTGTCAGGTAAATATCGGTTTCATTCGCATGAATCGCATTTGCATTCGCTCTGCAAGTCCACAGTTTTTTCTTCACAAAAAAAAAAAAATCATTGTCTGCTTAAAAAAGGAACCTTAAACCTATTTCGCCTACACCGTCTCCAGCAGAAGAGTCCCCGAGTGAACCCAAAGCCCGTACGAGTCAAGTACGAGTCGATGCCACCGACACCTCCTTTGTTGCCCTTTACTGTAGAAGGTTTTAGAATTGAATTTTTAAGTAAACACATGCACTGTTGCAATCTTTGTTTCAAATATGTCAGGCCGAAACACCGTTTATATATTGTAAACGTGCTGGTACCCACATTCACGAAAATTTCTACGTGGGGGGCAAATCGCGGTTTTCACCTTTCGCGGGGGGCGGCGAAATACGAGCGATGACCGCATGTTCATAAAAGGTCAAACTTAGGTGCTCCAGAGTAAGACGTGTGTGGTTGAGACATTTGCGGGGTCGCCGAGAAGATGACGCAAGATTAGGTGGAGGGTGAAGGACGCAAGTGCGCGCAGAGCAAAGGAGTGGAAGAAATCCAGGAGGGAAAAAGGGACGAAGGCAATGGAGGAGAGGAAAGTGAGGGGCGAGAGAGAGTGGTGGAGAGGTGACAAGGCTTCGGGGACAGAGGCATGAATAATTCATCCACACTTGTGATGGACAGATTGGGGGGGGGGGGGATGAAGAGGGACAGAGTGAGAGGTAGAACAGGGCCAGAGGAAGCGGCCAATGAAAGTGGTGGAAGGGGAGGAATAAAATGACTAACAGAAGAGGGAAAGAAGAGAAGAAGAAAGCAAGTCAAGGGTGGAGGGGCCACACACTGGAGCTCTTTGATCCTAACAAACCTCTCTCACCCTGACACCACCGTGCCATCTGGGGCCCACACTCCATGTATGTGTGTGTGTGTGTGTGTGTGTGTGTGTGTGTGTGTGTGTGTGTGTGTGTGTGTGTGTGTGTGTGTGTGTGAGACACAGACACAGAGAGGAAACAAAGGAACGGAGTGGAGATGCTATTGTGTCATTTCGATCCAAATTAAGCGTACAGTTTCAGTTCCATACAGATTAAGATGATCTGAAAATGCGCCAGGCTTTTAGTATCTTGTGTTTCCAAAGAACTCATTTTTAAAAAGAAGTGCGCACGTGACAACTTGGTATTGTATTGCAAGCGTGTGTACACATAGACCCCGAGTGGTGCCCCAGCAACAGCTCTTTGGCCTTCATTGACCAATATTTGCATCCGCCGCCAAAAATTCATAGAAAAAAAAAAAAAGACGCTCATACATAGCGAAATTAGTTCTATTGTCAATGATGTTTCAAATTCTTGATCCATGTGTGGCAGATTCCCGATAGAGCTGCACGTTTGCAGGTTCGTAAAAGGTCACGCCTCCCGAGCTTTCAGGGCTTGCTGGCTTTTTACCTAAGCAGTCAGCACGCTCCAAGATGGCGGCGAGGTGGTGGCGCGGGTTTAAACCCTAAGTCGGTGGACGGTGTTGGAACACCATCAGTTACACATGTGCCCCGTTTTTTACTTGACCCTCAAAGGTCACTGCACACCCCTGGTTAGATATATCTACTAGACTGAAGGAAAAAAATCCTTTGGTTCCAGTGGATTTACTGAATTCAGACATGCACATCGGTTGTGCATGATTGTTTCGCAACAGTCCACGCACATTTTAATTTTGTTCATTTTTAGTTCCACTGAAGAGATGTCACAGTTCGCTCTAGGCTGTCAAGACGACCGTCATAAAGGACACATAAAAGACACTTCCCACATTCATTCCACACACATTACAGACGTTGACATCTGACATCAACTTCACTCAAGATCCCCATGAAGTCCATAAATCATTTCAATCCCGGACATCTTTCGTGACTTTCACATGTTCTTTTTTTTTTCCTCCTTTCCCATTTTGTCTTTCTCTTCCCGCGGCTGACTCCGACGGCATCAAGCTTTCATTATCACAGCCAACACTTTTCAGCTTACGTGGCGCATGCATGTCAGCAGGAACAGGGTCAGCATGCAGCCTGTCCGCTCCGCATTACACCGTGGCCCCGCCTCGCTGCGGACAACCAACTCGCCTTGTCGGGGTCCACCTCATGCTCCCCTCTGACTCACGCACGCTCACAAAGTGCCATTATTGGTTGGCCTGCGATCAGCTATTACCGGAGACCTTGCGCCGGGCTGCCGCGGCGGGTCCAAAGGCGTGACCCGGACGGTGTCTGATGCAAAGTCAGGGTTATTTTTGTTGCCCTTTATTCGAAATGTCATAAAAGCCACAGTGGATATTATACTGTATGTTGACATTGTTATTGCCACGGGTCATGTAAAATGTCCCTCATGTGATGCGCTTTTGTTGAAGTCAAATGGGGCATTTTATTGGCACGTTTAAAGCACTAAAACTCTTTCTTTTGAGTCGCTCTTTTGGCTTCAAATGGATTTTAAAATATGGCGCTATATCATTTTGCGGAAGATGAAGCACTTTGAGCACGTCGTCTCCGTGATAGGATCCAACATGTTATGACAGGATTTGCTATTGTGTGAAAGGAAGCACAGCGCAGAAATGTTGAAGTACACGTTTGCCCTAACTTTCATCCGATTCATTTTGCATTTTCTGGAAGCAAAATAAAGGAGTGGGATGTCCGACGTGTTTTATACAGAGGAAGCCGTAATTCTGTGTTGCTGCTTGAATTCCAACAGGTCAAGTTATGAATCCGTCTTCCCCGTGGGAAATAAAAGAAATCCCAAAATAATCATTTGAAATCATCTGCCCCCACCCCCACTGAAAAAAAAAAAACGTTTTCAACTGTGCCGGCAATATTTCAAGTACCATTTTAACATCCTCCACCGCAAGCAGAGCTCCTAGCTCCACGCGTAGCCTTGATTGATATTGTCCCAGAGGTCATCGGTGCCGTCACAGAGTCGTAGGAAAGCGAACGTGAGGCTTGCTGCGTTTAAAACGCAATTGTCATCCATAACGACGACGAAATGGAAAAAAAGCGGTGAACTCTTGTCCCCTGCCGTTTCGTGTTTTATAAAAACCCGATAGCAAATTGCGATTGGTTCAATCGCTGAAAAACTGTTGAATTGATTATACAATCAACCATATTTTTCTCTCGTTTAACAATGCCGGAGGAGAACGGATGCGCAGGAGACATCAGGCTGTGTTAAGCACTTGTGCACTTCCACACACATGCACACAAACACACGTCCTCCTCTGTTGGGTGTAGAGGAGAATCAATATGTCTT